CCTTCCTCCTGATTTTTGTTCATCAGACTAGCACCAGCTGACGCACGTTGATCGAGTCAGAATTACTCCGCATAGGCAGGTTTCCCCCTCGTGGCGCGGGCGAGGCTCAGCTTCGCATGTCGGACTTAACCTTGTTTTTTGTTGGGTTTGTTTGTCGTGCTTGTGGCTATAACATCCGTCCGTTTTTGTTGTTTTTTTCGTTTTTTTAATATCTTTATCATTGATTATCGTCTTTTTCTTTTTTTTTAATATCATTATCATGAATTATCGTTCGTATTACAGCCTGCCAACCGTATGATTGCAATTTTAAACGTGTTCCTCAGTTGACTAATTTCTACATGTTTCATCTTTCTTCTTTCCCAGTTTTCTTTTTATGATTTCTTAACATTTCTTCATCTCTTCCAGACCCTTGCTGGTGACGCTGGTTTTCTACGCGCTGGGGATGGCAACACTGCTGCCCTGGAACTTCTTCATAACAGCAGAAACAGTAAGATGGGACAAGGAGGACATGGGCTTGGCTTTGTTATTTCCGTTTCGGTTAATTTTATGATATTTTGTATCTTCTTATACCGTTTTTTCCTCTTTTCTGATTTTGATTGTATATGTTTATATAAATACATATATATACGTGTACAAACACACACACACACACACACACACACATACATTATATGTGTGTGTGTGTGTGTGTGTGTGCGCGCGTGTGAGTGCGTACACATACACACACCAACACACACACACACATATATATGTGTATATATATATATATGTGCATATGTATATGTATATATTTATATATATATATATTAATATATATATATATGTATGTATATATATATATATATATATATGTATATGTATATATGTTATATATATATATATATATATATATATATATATATGTATGTATACACATATATTCATCTTTAATTCTGAATATATGTTTTACGTGTGTACTCTTACATACACAGGCAACCTGCATATCAGCTGCATATTAGATTAGATAAACAAAGATGTGTATGAATATATAAGCAGTCTTTATTTACCTATCTATCAGTCCTCTCTTTCCTCTCTCTCTCTCTCTCTCTCTCTCTCTCTCTCTCTCTCTCTCTCTCTCTCTCTCTCTCTCTCTCTCTCTCTCTCTCTCTCTCTCTCTCTCTCTCTCTCGCTCTCTCTCTCTCTCTCTCTCTCTCTTCTCTCTCTCTCTCTCTCTCTCTCTCTCTCTCTCTCTCTCTCTCTCTCTCTCTCTCTCTTCTCTCTCTCTCTCTCTCTCTCTCTCTCTCTCTCTCTCTCTCTCTCTCTCTATATATATATATATATATATATATATATATATATATATATATATATATTATATACATTACATATACATGTATGTATATATATATATATATATATATATATATATATATATATATATATATATATATATATTATATACACACACACACACACACACACACATACACACACATATACATATATAATATATATATATATATATTATATATATATATATATATATATATATATATGTATATATATATATATAATATATATATATATATATATATATATATATATATATATATATATATATAGAAATATGTATGTAATATATATATATATATGTATACATATATATATATATATATATATATATATATATATATATATATATATATATATATATATATATATATATATATATATATATATATATATATATATATATCGTCTATCTATCTGTCTATCTGTCTACCTATCTCTCCTTTCCTTTCCTTCTGTAGGGTTGTACTTGCTGAATATATATCTCATGATTTGCTTCTTTTAAATTATATCCCCTGACTTAGATATATAAAATTCACATAGCATCTTAGGATAACTTATGATGTCGCGCAATTAGTACTTTTAAGCAAAGTCTTAAATTCATGAAAACATTTTCTCAAGTAGGTCTTGTTTTCAACCTCAAATCATCATTTAATAGAGATAGAAGCGTGAGAAAGAGAAGGGAGAAAAAAATATCGGCATTTAATATTTTATACCACTATAGTTTAGTTAGCCCGTTATGATCTCCCGTTTTCTTTAATGGACTGGAACTGCTATAATGAACAGGTGATCGTTTTCTTTATGGACTGGAACTGCTATAATGAACAGGTGATCTCCCGTTTTCTTTAATGGACTGGAACTTTTATAATGAACAGGTGGTTTCCCGTTTTCTTTAATTGACTGGAACTGCTATAATGATGGGCTCCCGTTTTCTTTAATGGACTAGAACTGCTTTACTGAACAGGTGATTTCCCGTTTTCTTTAATGGACTGGAACTGCTACAATGAGCAGATCAGAAAAAGCGCTTCATATAAGACAAAGTATAAGGGGAAAATTCGCCTCCTACGCGAAACAGAAATAAGAGATCACTCCCTTTATACACCGGGCAGAGATAGATCATTCTCCTCCAGCGAAAGTTTGTTGAAAAGACACGCAACTCCCTTGAGATAAG